TTATTTTAATCTTTAATCAAATCCTATTCTCTTCTTTGGTTTTAAATATTTGAAAGCAAATTATTATTACTCTTTTACCTAAAAACTTTTATAAAATCATAAACTCAATAATATCAGATCAATATCTCTAGTTGACTCTATAAGAAAAATTTTTATAGAATAATTAACAAAAGACTTTCTAATATATTGAAGTCAAACTCAATTCTATTTAAATATAACTTTGCAAAACTTCTTGAATAAAATACTCTTGAATCTTTTATTATTATCTACTTAGCAATCCAAGTTACAAATATTAATAATAAAGAATTTTGATTTGCTTCTCTTAATATTATTAAAGCATTTAACTTTGCTTTAATCTTAATTATAAAAAAATCCATAAAAAAAATCAAATGCCTCTCTTAACTAATAAATTTTTTTATTAATTTATTTATTAATAAAGAAGTATTTATCAACTTATTCTTTAATTCTATAAATTTTTTTTTGTTTAATAATAGTATAGAACAGAGGGAAACTATTTTTCCAATTACTTAAATTGTTTTTTATAATTTTCTTATTTTCAAACTCTCCAAATACAAAAAAATATAAGACAATTTAACTTTTAATGCTTTTACTTATATAAATAATCTAATATTAATTATTAACTTCAAAGCAAAAATAGAAACTCTTCTTGAAACAGCTAATCAATTTTTTCAGTTTAACAATATCATATACAGTTTGGTTCAAAAAAAACTGAAATAAATTTTATTTCTAATTTTACTTATAACATAATAAATAATTAATCAATTAAAATAAAAATATATCTGTATATATTTAGAGATATAAAGAATACAATTATATTAAAAAATTATTTAAATATATTAAAATAATATATTTAAATTATAATTAAAAAAAGACAACAATTTAAAATTTTTAATTTTTTTGTCAATTACAAAAAAAAACAATAATATAAATTATTAAAATTATTTTAATATATAAATTAATTAAATATAGATTAATAAAACTTCAAAATAATTTTTCTATAATTTTTTATATTAATAAAAATTTTTTTTAAAAAAATTTTTTTTGATTTAATAATAAGCTACCTACTTTTTGATAAAATTTAAAAAAAATTTTTTAATAATAATAAGATATTTTTATTCTATTATAAAAAAAGATATTATTAATTTATTAATAATTATATAATAATTTTATAGAAAATATTAATTAAAATCAAAAATATATATTTATTAAAAATATAAAAAAAAATTTATTAATGTTAAAATATAAAAAATTATTTAAAAAAATTGTATTTTTAATTATAAAAAAATTTATAAATTATTAATTAATTATTAAAAAAATCATATAATAAATAATTATCTTTTTAATAAAATATATTTATTATTAAATTATTATTTATTAAATTAATATAAAAAGTAGATAGCTTATTATTAAGTCAAAAAAAAATTATTTTATCTTCTCCAAATACTCCAACTCAATTATAATAAGTCAAGGAGGACTCAGCATACTGCTGCTCAAAGAATAACAAAGATCAAGCCTTATAAATAATTTCATAACCAAGCTAGCAACTCCTATGACAAGAGAGTATATGGTTCAAGCCTTACAATGTATCCAAAAGAAAGAAGCTACCTGGTTTTGCCCAATATGCAATCCAGAAAAATTTGACCAAGATAATTGGATACTTTATATAGCTAAAGCCACAAAGAATTTCAAGATACAAGTTTGCTCTCCAAACTGCTCTCTTCAACTAGAAAATGCCTGCAATTCTGTAGGTTTAATTTTCAAAAATTTACCATTACAGTTAAGAGAAACAGTAGTCAATATATCCAATGCCCTTGGTATAAAATTTTCCAACCAACTTCTCCAGTTTAATAGCTCAACTAAACTATTCTGATCACAACTTATCTTATATACAGGCATCATACACTGTAATCCTGAATCAATTTGGTTCAAAAACTTCAACAACGATAGCAATTTAGTCGGATCCCATAGCTTAATACCAAATCCAAATCCGATATTCTAATTTATACATATCACAAATACTATTGTCAAAATTCACAAGAGACATTGCTATATCCAAGAGAACACACCTCTTAAGGGAAGGCATTATTCAATTGATTCTAATAACAACCTTATCAAATGCTCAAGTTGCCCTCTGGGCCTCTCTATCAATAACTATTGCTCAATAACATTTTCAAGTTCCAATGCTTCTTCACTTTGAACAGTCAATAAGGTTTCACCTAATGCTAAATACTGCCTCTATAACATTATTGAAGAGTTAGCAAACTTTCCAGCAGAAAGCGAAAATATTCTTCAATCAATTGACATCCCACCCTTTATAACATCTCTTTCTCCTATTCAGGTATTAGGCCAATGCAACCTATATCATATTCAATTCTCAAAACAAGATCTAATAGTCAATGAAACCAAAGTTACAATGTTTAACCCAGGACTTCCAGATGGCAATATCTTGCGAATCATCTATGATATCATTTAATGGTGTCCTCCTTACTCTATCATTGAAGTCAGAAGCAACAAAAAAATTATCCAAACACCTCCAACCTTTTCCAAAAAACATATAAAAGTAAATTTTGCCATCTTAACTTCAAAAGTTGAGCAAATCACAACATAAAAAGATATAACCATCAGGTTTGCCAAACCCAAATCAAAGCCAAGATATATCGATTCGATCCAGTGGGACAACCCAACTCTCTACTTTACAGAAAACCCTACCATCAACAATACCAACCTGGGCAGCTGCTCAAGGTAGTGCAAAAAAATCTTCAGTATCACTAAAGCTTATATCATTTGTAAAAGCTCTTTCATAACTAAAACATTTGGCCAAACTTATGACGCTTTCGAACTCCAAATAATCAACTCCTCCAACAAATTCTTAAAAGGACTTCACAACAATACTTATAGTGATCTCATTGTATTTAGAATTAAAATACTTCCGGGTACACTCCCAACATAAGAATTTCTCCATCAGTTATATCCTAAACACTACAAGGATCCATATTGTTCAAGATGTGGTCTCCAGACTAAAAACATCTTCCACATCTTTAGCTATCTCTTGGCAAAAAAAGAAATCAGACAAATAATAGATTCTATCAACCATATTTTACACCCAGATAATAGCAACAATCCAGTGTCAAGTATAAATCAGGTAATAGATCTTGCATGTGGAATCACAACTGGTATCTTCTCCATATTTAATATATAGAAGTGGATCCAAGCATCTACCGAAGCTCTCATATCCTCTTACAATCATATTTGGAAACCCTGGTGTAGCACAGCAAACACTTCACCCACTACAGGTATCAAATGGAATGAAAATCTCAAAAAAAGGAAAAGCAGTAATAATAACAACACTATCAACAATAACAACAATACAAATACTACCAACACAGATACTCTTTTCAATAATAATAGTGACAATGATAATGCCAATAAAAAAAGAACACAAAGAAACAATTCATCCTTTAATGATGACATTTCACCCTCAGTCCTTGAAGTTATTATGGTCGACATTCCAACCCTTGTTACAGAAATATTTATTCAAAACAAATTCAATTCCTCCAAATGTATATATAATCTCATCTTTAACTATCATAATTTTATTTCACAAAACTCTGAGTAGGTATCTACAGCTGCTCGGCATTACTTAATTAATACACTAGTTTAAAATATCTTTTCTAATAGAAGTTAAGTAATTACTGTAGGCAAGCTAGCATTTAACTCACTGTAAATTATATGTGAGAGATGTTGTTTCTTTCCATAATGTATATCTTGTTATATACAAATAAATAAAGAAATGGTATTTACTTATGTTAAAAAAATATATATATATACTGTATATAAATTATTTTAAAGTTTTATTAATCTATATTTAATTAATTTATATATTAAAATAATTTTAATAATTGATATTATTGTTTTTTTTGTAATTGATAGAAAAAAAAAATTTTAAATTGCTATCTCTTTTTAATTACAATTTAATTATATTATTTTAATATATTTAAATAATTTTTTAATATATTTCTATTCTTTATATCTCTAAATATACTTTGAATATATTTTTATTTTAATTGATTGTATTATAAATAAAATTGAAAATAAAATTTATTCCAGTTTTTTTCTTAACACACTATATATTTTTTTTAAAATTTTATGATTTAGCATACTATTATTTAAATAAAATTTTTTAAAAAATTTTTTAATATACTTTAGATGGTTATTTGGATAATTAACATTTGACTCATAAGTTGAAATATAAGAATTCATTAATATATTATAATAATAAAAATAATATTTACTATAAAAAAATAAAAAAATTATTCAATTACATTATGTTTTTTATTATAAATTTTAAATTAGTTTGGCAAAAATTATACTAGCTATTATATATGTACAATATATTATATATAATTATTTAAAATTATTTATTTATCTATTTACTCGCGCCTAATTACATATTTATTTACATAAATGATATCTATTAAACTTAACTGACATTAACAAAATTATTAAATTTAATTAATGATAATTTAGTTGTATGAATTATTAGACATCAGTTCTGTTATTAACATAACTATCATATGAAATGTAATAGGAAGTAACCAGATTTTCAAATGGTATGATGGTAATTAAAAAGGTGAACAATTGATGATTGCACGCGAGCATGAGTTAATAAACAACAATGGAAATTTGTGCGTTTAAATGACACTTTTCTTTTCGTAGATGAGGTAATCATTGTTGCTCCTGCATAGAGATGCAGAAATACATGCTCAGCCCGTTTTGGAATGCGCCATAATCTGCGATAAGCCAAAATCAGTCAAAAGAAATTCCTGATTATGTTTCCACAATTTTGGTTAAATAGGTCAGCCAGGGGTTTATAAGAGTGCAATTGAAAAAAAACCTGTGGTTTATAATAACAACAATTCATTACTACGAAATTATTTCATAATAGACCATTAATCCACGAATTAGCAATAAAATAAGACATGGAATCTTTTTTGAATTCCGTTGAGAAATTCGTCTCAGATGCCTCGGTTAAAATACAGCGAATGATTAATTCAAACGAAAATATATCTCGAAAGCCAAAAAACTCAGGTCCAAAAATTGATGAGGAATTACTCAGCAATCACTTGATGATAAACGAGAAATTCGTACAATCTGGTCACCTCGAGACTTCCACAAAATTTTGGCAATTCAAAATCGATGGAGAAACCACATACATTCGTTATGGAAACATAAACATCGATGGAAGCTTAAAGGAGAGGGCGATTCAAGTGGAACAACATAACGACGAGGCGGCTGCCCAGAAAAAAATAGAAGCCTTAATAGTAAAGAAACTCGACTCCGGCTATCAAGGTTGGGTACGATAATCTAATAATAAGCCTGGAGAGCATTTACCTTATAAGGATTAAATATTTACAAGCTGATTTAATTTTCATCGTGTAAACAACTATTGTAAGCTCATATGTTTTTCATACATAGCTCGACATTTTCTAGATACAGTATATTTAGAAAGAATTGTTGGTTTAATTTTTATGCTTTTAGATTTATTCTTTTGCGCGTAATCAATTTTACAAATTTCACGATCTACATTGTTATTACAATACTTTCTTTGGACGCAACCAGTTTGAGGCATCCATTATTTCTTGTGACATGCTCCCAATAATGAAAATATTTCTAACGAAAGGTAGCATAAAATTAGTTATTCGGCACACCCAAGCATGTAGCCAAAAAACGCCTTTTATCAACGGACATTGCCGAAATTCACAAAGCACATACGTACATGTACGTATATGTATGCACATATACAGTATATTCACAACCTGTGAGAACACATGTCGGCTATCGTTTGACGTACTAGCTTGACTTCGCATTTCTTTAAACGCATGATATTTGTAGTACACGCCTCGCTTTATGACGAATGAATACTGCGTTTTCAAGTTTTTCAATAAAAATTATTTAATTTATCTATGCATCCATTTGATTTTTCTTGGCAACGACGGCGCCATTGGCTTATAAACGTTTAAGTATACTGACATAATTAGTAATTAAAAAAACTACAATAACGTTGTGATCCATACGAAGCCTTTTGTGAATAACCAAAAAGTAAAGATGGTGAAAATAATTTGTTTACATATAAATCATATTATTAATACTTAGATTTATCAATTAATAATGTCAAAAAATAATTAGCTATATACAGTAGTTACAATATAGTATATAGTACTTATTATTATTATTATTATTATTATTAGGTGAACATCTTGTTTATTGAATATTGTATTGAGCATTTACAAATTTGTCAGTACAAATTTAAAACTCTACCTATTTCTTAAACTCACTAAAGGTTACCCTTATCATGTGGCTTATTATCAAAAATACTGATATATATTTAATTAATTTGTCAAGGCTCTACCAGTTCCTATTAAAAGAGATTTTGAAGTTATAAATTGCAATTTAATTTATTCAATAATTTGTTGCATAGTTTATAATTAAATTAATTTTTGGTATATTTGATTTTGGTTATATCACTTTAGTCTTTTTTTTTTTTAATATTTGTTTGTCTTGTTAAGTATTATTGTTTTTTCTTTTTTATTTGATAAATTGTTTATTGCATTATATTTATTTTTCTTCAGGTTATTGAGAATTCTATTGAAAATACTATTGGTAATTTCTTTTTGTATTGTTATTAATATATATATATATATATATATATTTAATCATAAAAGGGCATTAGATGCAAAACTTTATTAAGTATATAAATTGATACACAGATTATATCAAATATCTTTACATAGTATATGTGAATTAATATTAACCTATCTATGATGCTAGCTATTGCTATTCTAATTACACTTGATGTAACTCAGATTGGCTCGAGTGCTGGATGGTTAATGCCCTTCCAGAGCTAAAAGTAAGTCCAATAATTTAAGTATACTGTTTAATTTAGCATATTGTGAATCTGATTCCATAATGATTTGTTGGAGAATGTCTGATTCTTGTGAAGGGCCATTGTATTTTTAACTTTTGTGTCTTGTATACTGTGTCTGGTTTTGGTCCATTTGATGCCTGTTGATATTGATGTGTTTACTATTGCTAATCTGAGTATTCATATTAATGTATAAAGAAGTTTCAACATACTGTTTGTAAACTTGGCTAATTTTTTTTTTAAAAGGTGGATGTTCGGAGTTGTTATACTGCATGCTATCTTTTTGGATTGTAATTTCCCATTAATGTTGAGGTCTGGTAGGTGTTGTGATGTTGTGCTGACTTCCTTTGAGAGCTTCTTTAATTTGGAGTTCATTTTGGTTTTGATTTCCTCATACGCTGTAATGTTTTTGTAACATTCAAAAACATGTTCCGGTGTTTCTGATACAATCAAGCATCTGGGGCATAGATCATCTTGATAGCTGTCAGGATATCTTTTGTGTAGTAGCTTTTTTGTGGGGAGGGTTCCACTAAGGATTTTGTTTCTGAAGGCCAACAAGGATGAGGAATTATATTTGTCTTTTTTAATTAATAGATTGTTTGCGAATACAAGATGCTGTAGTATCTCTAGTTTTAGTGTTTGATTCCATTTGCTTTTGATTGATGAGCTGTTGATTAAGTTGATAAGCCTATAGGATTGCTGGACTCTTTTAAGCCATGTTATTGCACTATAGCCCCACATGTTCTTAATAAGTGAACTAGTGATGTATTTGTTGATTTCTATTATATTGTCTATACAGATTATTGAGTCGCTTTTCTGGGAGTTGAGAGGGTTATTGAGTTTGTTTAATTGTAACTTGATTTCTTTGGAATTGCACAGTGTAGAGATACAATCTACTAAATAGCTATAGATTGTCTTGATCTTACGATTAACATAGCTTGGGGTAGATAGATTAGGAACTTTGATGACGTTAACTGACATGTAAATGTCATTTTTGGCTGTTGCTAAGATTCCGATTAAGACTAAGAGTATGCTAATGGATTGCTTATACTCAAAGTAATATGTAAGCATCGAATTGTTTGCTTTAGCTATTATGAGACCATCTTTGATATCTAGGTCTATGGTAACAAAGAACCGTTCTGGCATGATGATCTGTTTAATATCTATCACCATATCGTTGTTGAAATGTGAAAGCATGTTTGGTATGTTTCAGTTATTAATCTTGATATCTGATATAAGGTTTAAGGGCTTATTTTTGGAGTATAGTTGGATTGAGATCTCTTCTAGAGCATTTGCCAACATATGCTAATTGCTTTTTTGATATGTCCATAGAGTTATTGCTTCTTGTATGGAGATTAGGAACTTTTGAGTGTCACAGTGACACTGATACCTAGTAAGTGTTCTATTTGTCGCAATAATATAATGAGTTCCTTTTACAATTATCTGATTTGTATTACGATTACTTCTTGCTTTCAAGTAGGTGACTTGGTTGTTTAATATAGTGAACCAGAATCTAGCTTTGATGTTTGGTATACAAATGGACGTTCCTTGAATGTGGTTGGGGATATTAACTTTAGAAAACCAGGAAGGTGTGGGGCCCCTAGGGATCGGATCAAAATGAGTATTGAATTCTTGCCATGTGAGTTTGCGACTTGATTGATAAACTAATAGGTCATTTAAGAATTTGATGTTTTTCCAATATAAGCTGAGTACTTGTCGGGCCATAGCTTTTCCATTAAAAGGAATAATGAGGCCTATTAAATAGTTTCCATTTGGATTATTGAATTCACAGTTCGATGGACATACTGAGACTTCATATTTTTTACATGCTATTGCAGCTCTGATGATCAACTCTTTTGAAACTTCTTTGGGAAGCATAGGGGGCAAAGCCAGATCACATGATGTGCTTAAATTGACTTGATTTCCATACTGATGACGACTTTTGTTTTTGGATTACACAGTTTCGCAATAAGGAGTTTTGACATGGTAAGTTCTTGCTTGTCTATTAAGTTGATAAACTTAAGGCCGGCCTGAGAATATGTAATTTTGTCTGAAATTGTTCTGCTCATCTTGAGTTTTGTTTTAATTAGATTGTTCATTTTGGCTTGAGTATTTGCTAGTTCTTTTTTGGACAGTAAGATAGAGTGAAAAGCATAATCGAGTTTGCTAGGTAAAATCCTGTCCATTACCTGTTTAGTTATTGGACTGTTCCAACTTTGTTTACTGCAGGCTGTGATTACTTGGTTTAATTCTTTTGTCAGGTTATGTTTGGATGGATTGTCTGTGAAGTTGCCTGAGAAATAATTTCCAAGGTATCGAATTGTTGCATTATATGGAAGAGAAACAATTGTAGCTTCAAAAACTTTAAGGAAAGCGTTTCTATTAGGATTGTTATTTTCTAGCATTGTTATAAGAGTGGTTTTGTCTGCATTACACTTGATATTATTGAGGCTCAGAAAAGAGCAGAATATGTTCGTAAGTTATTGAAGCTTTGATGCTGAGTTTGCCATAAGAAGCACGTCATTCATATACATAAGAATATTGTAGGGGATTTGTGGATGGTCTTGGTGACTGAGGATGGTAGTTATTATTGAATCGTAAAAGATTGTTCACAGTAGTGGAGAGAGAGTCTCCCCTTGGTCTAATCCTTTTGTTACTATGAAGTTATCTGTTTTGCCAAAGTTTGTTGTTATGGAGAGTTCTCGGTTATACAAGAGATTATAAAATAGAGAGATTAATTTGTCTGGTAACTTGATTCTGTAGAGAGCTGTTCTAAGGCTGTTAAGATTAACTAAGTCAAAGGCCTTTGCGATATCGAATGAGACTATCCATAACTCATTTTTCAGATTAATGGCTGTATTAAGTGTTGAGGTGGTAATTGTTAACAGTTTTATGGTGCCCTGTTTTGCCAACCCAGCAAAGCTAGCTTTGGACAGGATGTTGTTTTTCACTAGAATATTTGATAATCTCGTGTTGATAATTTTTGTAAAGATTTTTCTGGATGCTTCGACTAGTGAGATGGGTTTTGTATTTGCTATTTTCCTTGACCAGATAATTTTTTTGAGGAGAAGAACTATGGTTGATTTTTTCCAATTTTGTGGGATTTGTTCGCTGCTAAGGACTTCATTGTACAGTTTAACAAGTGTTGCTTTGAAATTGTTTTCCAGGGAGTTGATAATTTCATATGTGATCCCAGAGTTTCCTGGTGTTTTGTTTGCTGGCATGTCTTCAAGGGTATTCGAGAGCTCCTTAAGGTTGAAAGGGATTTGTGCTGATTTGTATATATCAGTTGATATGGTTCTAATGGAACAATATTTTTCTTTCCATGATGATTCTATCAGAGTGAAGGTATTTTCAGCAAGTATTTTTTTGAAGTGGGCATTGACAATTTTTTAATTTCTTCAGGATCATCAACTAGATTTTCATTTTCAT